AAGGTAGGTGCTTTCCCTCCCTGTTTTCCCAGAAGAACTGTTGTCTAGTATTTGTTCCCAGGAGCCCTGTCTTTGCTCCTTGAGCCCCTTGTCACAGAAGGTTTGTCTTCATCCTGGGCAGGCAGAAGGACCTTTTCTGTTCCCAATTCCAGGGGACCTCAGTCCCGCCCAACCTCTTATGCCGGCTCTTTGCCCTACAGATCGGCCCTTCCAGGTTCCGGGCCCCTGAGTTGCTGTTCCGGCCAGACTTGATTGGTGAGGAGAGTGAGGGTATTCATGAAGTGCTGGTGTTTGCCATCCAGAAGTCTGACATGGACTTACGGCGTACACTTTTTTCCAACATTGTCCTCTCAGGAGGGTCTACCCTATTCAAAGGTTGGTCTTGGCTCATGCAACCCTTGTTGGGGAAGCAGCCTCCTCCTACAGGGATTGGATGCACAGAAGATTAATTTGGGGTCTCTTTTTCTGCCCATTTAGGTTTTGGGGACAGGCTACTGAGTGAAGTGAAGAAACTAGCTCCAAAAGACGTGAAAATCAGGGTAGGAGCATGGTGGAGGCTGGGATGGGTAGAAGCGGGCTCCAAGGTCTTAGAGGACATGGTAGTTCCCCCTTCTGGGTCTCCCCAAGCTCTTCAGGCAACCCAGCACTGTAGGCAGACCAGGGGCTCCCAACATGTAAGTGATCCCAGTGTGTCCATCTGTCCGAAAGAGGACCTATTCTCGCTCTCGCTCTTGATCAGCAGCTAGATGTGCACATCTGTAATCCCAGCAGTCTGGAGGCTGAGGCAGGAGGGCTGCCAGGAGGGCTAGCCTGGACCTACATAGAAAGACCTGTCTGAGAACAATAAAGTTCTAGTATCTGAATGTAGTAGAGTACTTAGCTAGGACCCCATGGGGTCCTTCAGGAAAACTAAATTGACAGTTTGACCTTAGTGTTGCCATGCTCCTCTACTCCCCCAAGGTGGAACCCCCGTAATGCAGTTTGCCTTCTGAGTGTCTGCTGAAGGGAGTCAGCTCCATGTGGAGAGCAAGGGCCCCAAATGACGGCATCTGATACTGCCATGGTGTGCCTCCCTGCTTAGTGTCAGGCTAGACAGATCCAGCCAGAAGCCACAGATCCAGCAAGGAGCCTGTCACATGGCAGTGAGACAGAGTGAGGAGGTAGGCAGAGGGGGATAGGGTGGGGCTGAGAAGATGGTTCGGGGACAGAATACTTGCTGTGCAAGCATTAGCACCAGAGTTCAGGTCCCCAGAATTCACATCAAAGCCAGGTAGGTATGGCGGCCAATTGTAAATGCAGCATTTGGGAGGTAAAGACAAAGTCCTCAAGGGCAAGCTGGCTTGAGCGAGAATTGGTAAGCTCTGGCTTCAGCAAGAGGTTTTTGCGTCGATAAATAGATGGAGGACACCAGACATTGGGCCTCTGTGCACGCACGCATGTGCGCACACCCACAGAGACTGCTCCCCCACACCTGGGAACGCACGCATATGCAAAAGAAAGGGTTAAATAGGGTCTGGGTGTCTTAGATTCCTCTTTCCATCCCCCTATGCAGATATCTGCACCCCAGGAGAGGCTGTATTCCACATGGATCGGGTGAGTAGGCCATGGAATAAGAGCAGAATGGGAAGCAAGAGCTTTGACATTTCCACTATCCTCCCATGTCCCTTCCTTGTCCCTTTAAGGAAGGCCCCTGAGGGACTGGCTGGCTGCACAATTCACTCACCTGCTCCTTTGGGTTTTCCCCACTCCAGAGGCTCTATCCTTGCTTCCCTGGACACCTTTAAGAAGATGTGGGTCTCCAAGAAGGAGTATGAAGAAGATGGTGCCCGATCCATCCACAGGAAAACCTTCTAATGTCGCAACATCACCACCTCTCTCTGGAGTTAACTCCACTTTAAAAACTCGCTTTCTTGAGTTGGGGTGTTTGAGAGGAAACCGCCTGTGTGTGAGTGAGTGTGTGCGCATATGGAGTGCCGCGGGGCCCAGAGATCCTGGGCCCAGAAAGGACATTGAACTACCCACAGTGGTGATGGCCTGAGTCCTGGGGTTGACTACTAACTGCCCCCTTGCAAGGAAGAGCTCTGGCAGAGGCCCACTCCTTTCTCAGCTAGGCCTTTTTGGCTGGCTGTGAGGAACTACGGTTACTACCATAGAGAGACCTTGCTGCTGCCAGTGTAGGCTGGGCTGGCCCCACTCCACCCACCCCACGGTGCCCTGAGGCCGAGGGAGCTGCTGTCTCCCCATCATCATTCTGCTATCCATGCTTCTGGATCAGACTGAGAACTGGGGCTGGGGTTATATTCTGTCTGGTTGTGTTTCCTTTTGGGTTTGGGAGACTGAAAATCACTCTAGCAGTGCTTGGAGACTGGGTTCAGGAGAGGGCAGGGTACACTCATGTCTACCCGGGACCACACTGGGCATCTGAGGACAGGAGACAGCTGCAGGGTTAACTTACAAGCCCCAGCCACATCCAGGGGTCTTGGGAGACCATGAGGACCTGTTGGCTCCAGGTCCTGTTATTTGCTTCTCATACATCATTGTTTTGATGCCGTCATCACAGTTTTATTTATTGAAGTGTTTATTCAGAAAGGGGGCTGCAGAGAGCGCTTACCGTCTCCTGCATCGGTCACCTTGCTTATGTTTACAGCACCTAGGCTTTCCATAGCATCCAGGGCCCTGTCATTCCCTGCTGATGGTGAGCTGACAGTATTCATAGGCCTCAGGACCCTGCAGGATTGGAGGCTGCACACAAGGGCACCCCAACCAGCCTCTTTTCCTTCCTCCACTTGCTCACTGCCCTGGAACCAACGGGCTGGCTGTGGTTGGAATTTCAAAGACAGGAGCTGGCATCACTCTTTGACAGAGGCCCCTTGCGAGGGAGGTGTGTTGGAGATCTAGACCCTTTAAAACTAAGAAAGCTGCAGTTAACCACGTTGCCTTTTGCCGCTCTAGCTGACCAAGGGACTAAGTTAAAGTGTCAAGGAGGCCCCTTCTGGGTTGGTCAAAGCCACTCCTGACTTTGGACCTGTTTAGGAATGGAGAGAAGGGGCCAGACCAAAGTGCCAAGATCTGATAGGCTCAAGCCTGGCTCTTAGAAGCGGTCCAAGGGCCTTTGTATCCACACAGTACAAAGCTAAGGTGAGCCTGTCCTTCCTGGCACCCTCACCAATGATACCAAATCCCACCTCAGTTCCAGATTGCAGACAGTATTCTCTCTCTACCATCCTATGACCAAAGGCCCCTGCCAGATGGAAACCGAAGCTGGTGTGTGTGAAGTCAGTGTGGCAACCCATGGACTGCAGCGCGCTTAACCAGCTCACCTCTCTCCGCCCAAGCCTGTCCTTTGCACCGCCTCACAAAGCCACGTTGCCTGGTGGGGCCCAGTGTACTTAAATAAATCATTCTGATAGATCCATCAGTCTGGCCTCTTTCTGTGACCAGCGCCTGATAGAAAGGGGAGCTACCTGAATATGATATGCAGGCCATACCAACAACCCGTAGGGCAGATGGAAAGAGAATTGAGGGTCTAATTCCTGTGTATACGCAAATCAAGGCGTGAAGCCTGGCTTCAACTCTGAGAGCAGAGGTTTTGATTTTTTGGGCTTGTTTTTGTGACAGGGTTTCTCTGTAGCCTTGGCTGTCCTGGAACTCTGTAAGCCAGGCTGGCCTCGAACTCAGAGATCCACCTGGGATTAAAGGCATTCACCACCACAGCCAGCCCAAAAGCAGAGGTTCCGAAAACTTACTTGTATAAGACACTTGGATAAGGCCTGTAAGCCCAGCTACTCAGGAGGCGAGGCCAAGAGAATCACCTTTACGGACTGCGTGGGTTACAGAGCCCGTCTCTACAACTTACTGGTGGGGTTTGCAGTCCAGTAGAGCACTTGCCTGGTATGCGTGAAACCCTGCATCCACCCTCAGCACCCTTCACCCACAAACCATCTGGGAATATATTCACATGAAGAGCCTAGAGGCTGGGGAGCTGGCTAGTGGTTAAAGGCACTGACTGCTCTTTCAGAGGGTCTGGGTTCAAATCCCAGCACCCACATGGCAGCTCACAACTATAACTCCAAGATCTGACACTCTCACATAGACATACATACAGACAAAACACCAATGCACATAAGATAAAGGTAATAAAAATAAAAAGCCTGAACCATTGAGATGACTGCAGATAAAGGGCACTTGCCAACAATTCTTTCCACCTTGTTTGATTTCCAGGACCTACATAGAACTGACTCCATGCAGCAAGCTGACTTCTGGCCTCCACATGTACACCCATGCATACAAATAAATGTAATAAGAATTTCTTAAACCAGGTACAGTGGCACACACCTGTAATCCCAGCACCACAGGCAGATTGCTGTGAGTTCAAGGCCAGCCTGTCTACAGAGCAAGTCCAGGACAGCCAAAAAAAAAAAAAAAAAAAACCTTTTAAAAAATTAAGGGTGCTGGGCCTAGTGGCACACACCTTTAATCCCAGCACTTAAGCAGGCAAACTCAAGCAGATCTCAAGCAGGTCTCTTGAGTTCGAGGCCAGCCTGGTTACAGAGTGAGTTCCAGAACCACAGCTACAGAGAAATCAGAAACAAAAAAACAACTGTGTCTAAAAGGAAATTGCCAGATACCTAACAAGTGCCTTCTCTTCCCCAATAACTGTAAAGTATGGGTGGTTTATGATCCATTTCAGAAAGACTTCCAGGACCACAATAATATTAATTTGAGAGCCACTGCTCATTGGCTGGGCCATGTGCCCTCCAACTGGATCGCCTACACAGACCCTCAGAAACATGGGCCTAGAGCAGAAGGTTCCTGTCAGGATCCATCTGCCCACAGGACACAACTAATAATATCTGAAGACTTGCTTGGTGGTCACAGCTGCAGAGTGGGGAAGCTATGGACAGCTGGTAGGTGGAGGTCCAGGTTGCTGCCAAGCCCTGTGTGACAACGATGAGGGCAGGCACCCTCCCAGGTTTCCACCACATAAAAGATCATACCACTTTATTACATCAGACCTCTTTATTCGGAAGCTCTTCAGGTGGGTTCTGGGCTGAGCCCCTGGCCTAACAGGCTCCTTTTTGACAGTTGTGTCCAACAGTGGCATATGGGGAGTACTCTGCGGTAACTGGCTCCAGGCCCCATCACCCAGCAGTCTGCTAGACTGACTTGGTCACACTGTCAGTTTTCTTGATGTTTTCATTTTTTTCTAGGCTAGCTTTGAACCTGAAGCAATCCTGCTTCAGCCTTCCAAATATTGAGAGCATGGGCATAAATCAGCTTACAATTTGCATTTTTGTTCTATTATCTCTAGGAAGATGAGATTTTGGAGTACTTTTCCTGTTTCCCAGCCCCCACCAACCCTGCCTAGCTGCCCCCCCAACACACACAGACACACAGACACACAGACACACAGACACACACACACACACACACACACACACACACACACACACACACACACACGGCTCAGACTTGAATAGGAATGACTGGCTTTACTGGATCAGGAATGAGTTGAGCCTCAAGGGTTTTGAGGCCTGTTGGGCTCTGGGGAGCCCTACAGCAGAAAGGGGACACCAATGCAAGCAGAGGTGAAGCAGAAGAAACAACCAGAAGGAGGGGCAAATGGCACTTTGAGTGAGCTTCGCCTGAGTGGGCAAAAGGCGCAGTCACGGCCCAGAAGCCCACTGTGTAGACAGCCCCAGCTGCGCTCGTGCAGGCGATCCAGGTGCAGGCTCCAGGGCACATGGCCCAGCCAATGGGCTGCGGCTGTCAAGTTACTTTCTTGTGGTCCTGGAAGCCTTTCTGAAATGGATCCTTGTGCACCACACTGAGCCCTACCCTTTCTGATCCTCATTTTTTTTTCCTGCCCCACAGAAGTTGCAGGTCCCTGAGCACGTATAGCTCAGCCCTTGGCCAAGCTGAGGCAGATGGCTGATGAAGGGCAGACCTCAGTGATGCTCCCGGTTCCGCCCCAGGAGCGCCCCCATGCCATCTGTTCTTTGGGCTGCACGCAGAGATGAGGAAGCAGGATGCTGGCTGGCACAAGAGGCTACTGCTGGGGCCAGGATAGCGACCTCCGCAGCGTGGCCTTGCCACACCTCTCACACCACCTTAATGTCCAGCGTGTGGATCTGGGCCAGGTTCTGTCGCTGGGCCTTGACCATACGCAGGCGTCTCCCGTGCAGTGTGAACCGGGACCAGGTGAAGAGCTGCAGCAGTGCGCAGGTGATGGGCACCAGCACCAGCAGGTAGAAGCAACCCTGGCGGAGTGTCGGCGCCTGCGCTGGCGGCTCTGGCCATGGCCGGACACTCCCCACAGACGTCACTGGGGGCTGCTGAAAAAGGTCGTGACCTAGGACGAGCAGGCAGAACGTGCATGGTCAGCCCATTGTCCCCCCAAAGGCTGCAGAACAGCATCTCAAACATTACACACAAGTGTCCTAAACCACAACTTTTAAAACGGGGCTGGAGAGATGGCTCAGTGGTTAAGCGCACTGGCTGCTCTTCCAAAGAACCAGGGTTCAATTCCCAGCACCCACAAGGCAGCTCACAACTGTTTGTAACAAAAATAAATTAGTTTTTAAAAAAGTTTTAAAACAGGCGAGGCATGGTGGCACCGCCTTTAATTCCAGGTGGATCTCTGTGAGTTTGAGGCCAGCCTGGTCTATAGATTCTGAGTTTCAGGACAGCCAGTGCTGTTATACAAAGAGACCCTGTCTCAAAAGAAAAAAAACAAAAAACAAAAAAAAAAAATTTTTTTTAAACAGTGTCACTGTTAGCTGGCCTCAATCTTGCAGACTCCTTCTTTAGCCTTAACAAGTAGCTGGGATTATAGGCATATGCCACAACCCCTAACTACAAATCTATCATCTATATTTTATTTTTATTTTTATTTTTTTGAGACAGGGTCTCTAGTTATCTAGGCTGTCCTGGAACTTGCCATATAGACCAGATTGGCTTCAAACTCACAGACTTCACTGCCTGCCTTTGCCTCCCAAGTGCTGATATTAAAGGCATGAGCCACCATGCCTGGCTTTTTTTTTTTTTTTTTTTTTTTTTTTTTTTTTATGTCAGGGTATCTAGCCCAGACCTCCTCCTGCTTCTACTTCCTGAGTGCTGCTATACAGGTGGATCACCACAGATAGTTTAGGTGGTTCTAGGGGTCAAACTCAGGGCTTTGTGCTCCTCCAGCTGAGCTACATTCCAGCACTATCTTGTTTCCTGAGACTGTCTCATGCGCCCTAGGTTGTTCTTGGAGTCAATATATAGCTGAAAGTAACCCTAACCTCCCCACCGTCCTGCCTCCACCTCCTAAATGCTAGAATTACAGGTATCTACCATCTTGCCCAGCTCCTACCATATCCCTTTTTCTGTTTGTTTGGTTTGCTTTTAAGACAAGGTTTCTCTATGCTGACCTGGAACTCACTATACAGACCGGGCTGGCCTTGAACCCATTTCTCACATTATTTACTTCTCTTTCTCTCCCTTCTATTATTTATTAATTTATTATGTATAGAGTTCTGCCTGCATGTAACACCTGCACGACAGAATAGGAAGCCAGATCTCACTATAGGTGGTTGCTGGGAATTGAACTCAGGACCTTTGGAAGAGCAGTCAGTGCTCTTAACCTCTGAGCCATCTCTCCAGCCCTCTCCCCCTTCTCTCTGTTTTAAGATTTATTTATTATATAATGCTGTGTTTTACTTACATGTATGCTGCAGGCCAGAAGAGGGCATCAGATCTTATTATAGATGGTTGTGAGCCACCATGTCGTTGCTGGGAATTGAACTCAGGACCTCAGGAAGAGCAGCCAGTGCTCTTAACCTCTGAGCCATCTCTCCAGCCCCCACATTCTTCCTTTCTCATGAGAGATGCTGCCATCTCACCTCAGTTCCCAAAAGCATCCCACCTGTCCCTCTCTAGTCCAAGCTTCAATAGCCTTACAAGCTCCTTAACAACTGAGAGCTACTGCCCACTATGATCTGGGTGCACGCCTCAGGGCAGCAGAGCGAATTTCTTCCAAACGTCAACCAGACTGCAGCACTTCCCAGACTCTAACTCTCCAAACAGCTTCCCTGAGCACTGAAAATCCAGTCCCTATGCCATCCCGTCCACCCCTCTCCCTGTCTAGAGTTTTGTTTTGTTTTGTTTTCAAGATGGGGATTCTCTGTGTTGCCCTAGCTGTCCTGGAACTCGCTCTGTAGATCAGGCTGGCCTTGAACTCAGAGATCTGCCTGCCTCTGGCTCTTGAATGGTGGGATTAAAAGCGTGTGCCACCACCAGCCAGCCTGTCTAGACTCTAAGCCCCACGACAGCTAAATTTCCCATCTTACCATTGTTACCTCCCTTTCACACAGGGCCCAGCCTATAGAGAAGCCTATGCTGACCTGTTGAATGAATCGGTGAACTTGGGAAGAAACGGAGGGATGGGCCAACAAGGGCTCTCGTCCCAAAGCAGCGCAGGCCGAGGCGCAGCTGTCTGCCTCCTCAGTAGACCCGGAGCCGGTAGCCAAGTAGGCCGTGCTCCACGACACTCACCTGTGTAGAAGCAGAGAAGCCAGGTGCCCAGCAGTGGGGCAAAGGTCTGGCCAGGCTTGGTCACGAGGGCAACCATACCAAAGAGAAGCGCGGAGGCTGCCTGTTTCCGATGGTTCAGCACCAGGTCCTCATCCACCAGGTCAGTGACCACCAGGGTCAGCAGCTTACAGGTGCCCTCCGTGAAGACACGGTTGCTGCCCGTGGAGAGAGGAGCAAGAGTGAAGGGGGTGGACACAGAGGTGCTAGGGCAAGGGTAGGCAGGGCATACCTGGCAATGAAGAAGCAAAGCAGGCCAGGGTGGTCTGGGCCAGCCAACAGCATGAGGAGGCTAAGGCTCAGCTTGAGCAGGAAGAGGCCCCGCACCACTGCATAGACACCCCAGCGTCGGCACAGGGGCAGGAAGTAGAGGTTGTTGAGATGAGGAGCAACATAGGAGATGCCTAGGAAGGGAAGAGGGGCCCTTCTTCAGGAGCAATGCCACAGTCTCAACAGTGGTTGGCAGCTGCCACTGTAATAATCAGTTGCCATTTGCATTAGTTGTACACCAACAAAGTCTTGCAGTTTTCACCCTTTATTGTATTTCCATTTTTGCTTCATGTGTACGAATGTTTTGACTGCATGTACATCTGTGTAGAGGCCAAAAGAGGGCATTGGAGCCCGTGGAACTAGAGTTACAGACAGCTGTGAACCACCATGTATGTAAATGGAAAGCAAACCTGTGTCCTCTGGAAGAGCAGCCAGTGCTCCTAACTGCTGAGCCATTCTCTCCAGCCTGCTTTTCACATCGCCATAATTTTCACACACCCTTCAAAGTAAGTATTGCAGTCCCTTGGTGTTCATAGGAGTTGAGCCCAGCACCTTTATAAAATGGCATATTGTATCTGTATAGGATCTATATACATATGCCCATACACTATTATTGTGTTTTAGTTTTTAAATTTTGTGTCATGTAGCTCTAGATGGCCTTGAACTCTTGATCCTCCTGCTTTGTCTCCTGAGTGTTGGGATTACAGTCCTAACTACCATACCACGCTTTATTTTATATTTTTACTATATTTATTCTTAAGACAGGGTCTCTCTATGTAGCCCTGGCTGTGCTAGAACTCTCCATGTAGACCAGACTGGCCTCAGGCTTATGGAGATCTACCTGCCTCTGCCTCCAAAGTACAGGATTAAAGGGGTGTGTCATTACACTTAGCCTATTTTGTTTGTTTTTGTTTTGAGACAGGATCTTACTATGTGGCCCTGGCTGGCCTCAAACTCACAGAAATCAGTCTGTCTCTTCCTCCTAGGTACTGGGATTAAAGGCCTACACTGCCATACTCAACCTCTTTTTATTTAAAAAAATTTTTGACACAAGTTTTCATACATGCAAGGCTAGCCTCAAACTCTATATGTAGCTTAGGCTGACCTTGAACTTCTGATTCTAACTGTACCTCCCAAGTTCATGCTAAGATTGAAAGTATACACCACCACACCCAGCTCATCACACCCTATTTACCAGGTGCTGGAGAATCCAGCCTGGCAGAGCGTCCTATAGGTTCTACCAACTGAGCTACATCCCCAACCCTCTCACGTACTTTAAATTGTCGCTTTTTTTCCTGCCTTTAATTTTTTTTATTGTTGTTAACATTTATTTTTATTAATTTATTTTAGATCCAGGATGGCATCAAACTGTCATCAATCCTGCCTCTATTTCTATGGTGCTGAGTTTACAGGTGTATGCCATCAAGCCAGGCATAAGTGACATCTTGATTATTTATAACATTCAGTACATCGTAGACATTATACAAATGTCTATGTAAATGATACTGTTATACTGTATCATTTCAGAGGCAATGACAGGAAAGCAAGAAAAAGGCTTTAGGGTCAGTGAGATGGCTCAGCAGGTAATAGACTTGCTGCCAAACCTGGCAAGCTGAGTTTGATCCCTGAATCCCACATGGCTGGAGGAGAGAAGCAACTCCTGAAAAATGTCCTCTGCCCTCCAGATGAGCACCATGGCTTGTCTGCATCCAAACTCTCAACACACAAACAATAAATAAAAAACATAAAAGTCAAAAGACAGGCTAGGCATGGTAGCACAGCCTTTAATCCCAGCACTCTGGGAGGCAGAGGCAAGCAGATCTCTGAGTTTGAGGCCAGCCTGGTCTACAAAACGAGTCCAGGAGAGCCAGGGCTACACAGAGAAACCCTGTCTCAAAACACACACACACACAAAACCCAGAGTGGCTCAGAAAGATAAAAACCCACAGCTGCGGCACTGTGTCACATTGCCTCTGGGTGTCTCTGTCACTCCAAGGACTGAAGTGAGGACGCTAACCTCCATCCAGGGCTTGCAAGCTGCTGGCCCCAGGCACTACTCACCCAGCAGGAAGGAGCCGGTGGAGAGGGAGATGTGCTCGGACAACAAGTGCTCCAGGAAGAGGGGGAAGAAGTTGCTGTTGAAGTGGCAGTGAAACACCTGCAGGACAAATGGTGGGCAGTTCCCAGAGTCAGGGTCCAGCAGGGGAGCAGCAGCCCTGGCCCTCAGAGCAGGAGGAGCACCGGCCTCTGTCCCATGCCACCAAACATGGGACATGCCTAAACAAACCTAAACAGTCCTTGTGGCCTATGGAACTCTACTCAAAGTTTGAAGACGTGGTAAAATAGCAAACAGAAGAATTTTTAAGTTTTTATGGCATAAAAATGATTCATTTCAAAGTCTGGCTAACATCTATGTTTTAGATGTGGCGCTTGATTTCAAAAAGTTGTTACAGGGGCTGGAGAGACGGCTCAGTGGTTAAGAGCACTGGCTGTTCTTCCAGAGGACCCAGGATCAATTCCCAGCAACCACACAGTGGCTCACAGCCTTCTTAACTCTAGTTCTGGGGAACCCAACAGTCTCTTCTTGGCCTCCCTAGGCACCAAGCACACACGTGTGCAGACAGACATGGAGGCAAAACACCCATACACATGAAATAATAATTTTAAAGACAGATTCTTCCGTCTTCTTCCGGATGAAGACTGGCCTGGGAAGCCGAGACCCGCCTGAGCTCACACAGTGAGGGGCAGCTCAGGGATTACCTAACAATGTACAAGGCCCCGGGTTAGCACTTCTTGTACTATAGGGTTGGGAGATGACCACACATGGGAGTAAGGGACACAGAAAGTGCTAGAACCTAGGTCTCCCAACTTCCCAAGCTTAGTTCTACCATCCAACCTCAGGGAGGCGTCCTACCTTCCCAGATCTTGAAGAACCCTTGAGGGAGGGGTGAGGAAATGGTTCCCCATACCTGTACCAGGTCCATGCCCACGAACCACAGGAAGTTTTGGTGGTGTGCCAGTTGCCGGAGGTACTGGCCCAAGGTGATGGTGCCTGCTTCCCCACCGCCCACCAGCAGCGCCTCTTCACACGCACTGTAGAGGGGAAGGGAAGACTGGTGGGGCTATGCCAGAGCGGGCCGGGGGGCTGCATGTGAAAATCAGGCTCTGAGCCTGGGGAGCCGACACGAGTCACTCACCCGCCATCCATGAGCAGGGCCGAGCTACTCGTGGCCCTTCTGGTTGCCTCAATGCGCCACTTCAGCAATTGTGTGGCTCCCAGAAAGCCCAGCCCAGAGCCGGCAGCTAGTACCACACAAAAGGCACGGAAGGAGGAGAAGTCTTCCTTGTTCCAAAAGGCGTAGGAGGCAAAGACAGACATGGAGCCAGCGGCACTGAAGAGGGAGCAGTAAAAGTTGAGGTGGGTGCGGTCATGGGCTGAGAGAGCCAGGTCGGCCAGCAAGGCATGATGGTGGAGGTCCACGAGTGTCAGGAAGCCATCATAGAGGCACAGGCACAGTAAGAACTGCAAGCCAGCAGGGGCCCAGGGCACCCAGAATGCCAGGAAGGACAGTGCCAGCAGCGGCCCGTGCCAGCCTAGCGCCCGCACCCGAGTCAGCACCACATCTCTGGAGGAGAGCCCAGCTCCTGACCTGTCAGGAGAAGAGGTGTTAGGAGGTAACCTTTCACCCTGAGCAGGGCTGGGTTCCCCTAGCTGGGCCCAGAAGACAGATGGAGGGATTCACACCTAGATAAACCCCAAGTCTCTAGCCCCTGACCTGAGACTTAACAGGCACAGGTTACCCAGTCATAGGCTTTCTTCTCAGCCCTACTGCCCCATCTAAAAGGGCTGCCTAAAGGGCTGATGACCAACGGGCTATGGGATACTGATTCTCAGGGGTGGGGGTAGCAACGGGCCCAAGCAGGGAAGGGTAACAGTGCAGTAGAAGTGGCAGAGGAAATATATGGGCCAGAGCTGTGATAGCAACCCAGGTCGCACGAGGGTCAACCCCTTCCTCCACCTGGGCCATGCCCATACCACTGGCCTCACTTCCTCTCCCCATTCCAAATATGAGCAGCAGTGGTCTGTCAGTTTGGGGAATATCAGGGCGGGACTAGGATAGTGATGTCCCATCCCTGAGACACACACCTCGGTTGGGAGCTGAGGAACTGGCGGTCACTGAGCCAGCCGAAGAGGGGGTCGTTGAAGCTGTTCCAGAGGAGAAATACAGTCTGCAAGAAGAGAGAGATGGGCAGGTGGGCTGCACAGAGCTCCCCAACTCTAGTCTATGCACCTGCCCCAAAGATGGCAGTAGCTTCCTGCCCACAAGCTTTTGTTCATGTTCATTCTTCTGCCAACGCCCCTCTCCTGGCTGGTACACACATCAAAGCCTAGAGGAGCCCTAAAGCAGTGGCCAGGAGAGCTACTAGAACTCCTGAAGAGTCCTTAAGACCCCACCAGCTTTTCTGGCTGAGTCTTGCTAAACAACACAGCCTGTGTCTAACACTGGACCAGGACCCAGCACCTCTGTCTCCCTGGAAACCTGAGGCCCAGGCTCCCACCAGCACTAGCTGCCCCGTGCTCAGCCTACCTCTCCAACCCAGAAGGACACTTTGTTGATCTTATACACGGAGACAAAGGTGTCCACGTAGTACAGCAGGAACACATTATGCAGGATGGAGGTGAAGAGAGCCAAGGAGCCATACACCACAGCTGTGGGCAGGCCCAGCAGCCTGCGTTGGGGCCAGCCTAGCCTCATGGCTGGTGGTGGCCAAGCCTCAGCCCCAGGAGCGCTGAGGAGGGCTCACAGACATTGCCAGTCTGACCATTCTTGTCTCTAGGGAAGAAGAAGCCAGTGAGGAGCAAGGATCAGCGCTAACTCTCTCTTTCATTCCAGCTCTCTGAGTCTGTTAACAAGCCGTAAGAAGAATACCTCATGCCAGGCTTCAGTTTGTAGCTCTATGGTTGCATGCTAGTCTAGTTCCTGCATTTAATCCCTGACACTGAAAAAGAAAAATCTTTTTCTTAAACTCATTTCCTTTGGGAGAGAATTTGCACGTAAAACAAAGCTGGGGAATTACCAGTGAGGTGTATCGGAAACAACACAAGGTAGATAACCATCACTCTGTTGCTTCAGGAAACCGAGATGGCCCAGGGGAGAGAAGGCAGGCATTCGAGGACTGTGCCTTCTAGGGCTGGGTGCTCAGCATGCTGCACAACAATAACGATCTAGCTATAACCACGGCGGCCTTAGGCAGTGTGCTTCCAGGGCAGGCAGCGTCAGTAAGGTTGACCTTTGGTTCTTTTTCTCAAAAGGGTCAAGGGGAATCATTATGTCAAAGAACAGAAGGATTTAAAAAAAAAACAAAACAAAAAACAAACCTCATAGAATATGCTCTATAAGCCAGGCATGATGGCACACACCTCTAACCCCAGCACTAGGAAGGCTGAGACAGGAAGACCACTAAATCAATTTCAGCCTGGGCTGCAGAGCTCAGGTCAGCCTTGGCTGCATGGTGAACCCTGCAGAGAGAGGAGCAGTTCACTACGTGATGTTGGTATGATCAGTATCTTTACACAGGCCCTAGGAAACACTGTTATGGTCTTATAGAACAGCTCCAAATTAAAAACACTGAAAAACTTAGCCAATGTCGTTTGGCAAAAGAGCAATAGACTTGAATCCAGCAAGAGATTTTATTCCCTGGTGTTTTATCAAATCATTTTTCCCTCTCTTGGGAATCCAGGTTTGTCTGATGCCTTTCTAATTGACCTCCAAAATCAAATTTCTGTACACTACTGGAGAAAATGGGAAAATCTAGTGAGAAGCCTGGTCTAGGAAAAAAAAACAAAATGTAAAAGCTGGAGAGATGGCTCAGAGGTTAAGAGCACTGGCTGTTCTTCCAAAGGTCCCAAGTTCAATTCTCAGCAACCACATGCTGGTGGCTCATAACCAACTATAGTGAGATCTGGTGCACAGGCAAAAGCAGGCAGAATGCTGTACAAATAATAAATAAATCTTAAGAAAAACAAAACAAAACAAAATGTGAGACTAGGCATGGTGGTGCATGTCTTTAGCGCAAGCACTTGGGAGGCAGAGACAGGTAGAGGTATGGGTCAAGCCCATAGTGTATGTATAGAGCTGTGTGTGACAGCGGCATGCATAAACAGCTGGACACAGTCCAAACAGGCAAGCAAGGGGCTGTCCTGGCAAGCTTGATTCTCTCCAAAAAGGGCCACCTATGGGCAGTGCTAGCCCTGGGACACAGAGACTTAAGACAAACACTATATGAGAGTATATGGAGGCTGGGGTGTAATTCAGTGGTAGAGCACTAGTCTAGCATCTACAAGGCCCTGGGTTCTATCCCAGGCAAAGATGTGGGAGATGAGAGCCTAGGAATAAGACCCTACTTAGATTAAACATCCAAATTAAGACTTGAAACCAAATTAAGATTGACTCATGTTGGGGTTGGTCTGATGCTTGTATTTTTATGCTAATTACTGGCCTCAAGATCTAGTTACTGCCCTGTCCTTGTTGTGTAAACGTGCCTAAGACATTATTCCTGGTTGGTTTAAAAAAAAAAAAAAAAAAAAAAAAGGCCTGTACCTGGGCAGAGCAGAAGGAGGTGGTCATGGCTAAGATTCCTGGGCTTTGGAGACAAGAGGATCATGGGAAGGAGAGAAACAGACAGGAAGATAGAAAAAAAAAAAGGATGAAGCGACTATGGGTTTGCATGAAAAGGAACCACATGGGCCAGGAGGAAGGACTCTGAAAGTGGCATGGAAAGGAGCCCTGGAGATGAAGGATAAGCAAGTATTTATAAGATTATGAATGGAATGGTTAAGGTGGATGGTGAGGTTATTGAGATAGCATAGGTAAAAATATTTGCCCAGCCCAAGGTGTTATAAGGCAATTATAAAATCTAACAGGTGTCTGTGTCTTGATTGTGATAGAGGGTTAAATAATACTGCTATGATAATCATAGTAATCATCATAATAAACATTATTTAGTCCAACACCATTTTACTTACAACAACAGAGGCATCCTGAAGTGGGCTGGCCGGCCCTTATTAAAATAAAAACCGAGCTGGGCAGTGGCGGCACACACCTTTAATCCCAGCACTTGGGTTTTGAAGCCAGCCTGATCTACAGAGTGAGTTCCAGGACAACCAAGTCTACACAGGCAAACCCTGTCTCAAAGAACATAAAAACATTCAAAGAAAGAAGAAAAAAACCTGAATATCAAGTGTGCTGGCTAGTTTTATGTCAACTTGACACAAGCTAGAGCTATCTGAAAGAAGAAAACCTCAGTTGAGAAAATGCCTCCCTAAGATCTGGCTGTAGGCCATTTTCTTAATTAGTGATTGATGGGGGAGGGTGCAGGCCCTTGTGGGTGGGGCCATCCCTGGGACAGTGGTCCTGAGTTCTCGAAGAAAGCAGGCTGAGCAAGCCTTGGGGAGCAAGGCAGTAAGCAGCAGCCCTGCACGGCCTCTACATCAGTTCTTGTCTGGTTCCTGCGCTGTCCTGTCCTGACTTCCTTCAGCGACGGACTATGGATGTGGAGGCGTGAGCCAAATAAACCATTCCCCCCACCCCCAAACTTGCTTTTGGCCATGGTGTTTCAACATAGCAATAGTGACCCAAAAATAATAGTAACAGTGACCCAAACTAAGATATCAAGAAAAGAGGGTCATGTGAAAATGGAGCCTGCCTTCATCTGTCTGCAGCTGCAGCCACAGGCCAAGGGGAAGGATCACCCTCGGATCTCCAAAAGATAGACGGAGAAGAAAGGATTCGTCCCTAGAGCCTCTAGCAAAAACCTGACCCTGCTCAGGCCCTCCATGTGGACTTTTACCCTCCAGACTTGAGTGAAGGGATACACGGTTGCCTCAAGCCATCAGTTGTGTCACCTGTTACGGTAGCCTAATGACACTGAGTGGTCTGACCGTTCTTCTCAAGGCTGCGTGCTTCGGAAGTTGCGCACACTCCCGCACCACTCATATCCTGTCTGCCCTCTGCCCCAGTCCAACAGAAGGAGCAAGGCCTCCGAGGGCTGTTCTTGCCCCAGGACCCAGCCTGCCTCCTCCACATGCCTACAGGTCTGTTCAGTGTGGCCACTCCCAGCCCAGACTCCCTTTCTTCTGACAAGGACTTTGTTCTTGCTGGTTCTTTCTGTTCCAGTCTGCATCTGCCATTCATTTGAGTGAGCATGAAGTCCAGACTTCTCACACTCCATTGGGACTACTGTCGCAATCCTGCAGTTCCAGATACTCAGGAAGCTAAAGCACGAGGATTGAAAATTCACGGCCTGCCACACCATAAAGGCAATGCCTTTGATCCTAGCATTTTGAGAGACAGAGGCAGGAGGATCTCTGTAAGTTCCAGGCCAGCTTGGTCTACAGAGTGAGTTCCAGGACAGCCAAAGCTACACAGAAAAATCCTGTCTCGAAAAAACAGAGAGAGAGAGAGAGAGAGAGAGAGAGAGAGAGAGAGAGAGAAAGAAAGAAAGAAAGAAAGAAAGAAAGAAAGAAAGAAAGAAAGAAAGAAAGAAAGAAAGAAAGTAAGTTGACAGCCAGAAACTTGGGCAATTTAGTGAGACCCTTTTTTTTTTTTTTTTTAAGATTTTTAAAATTTATTATTTATACCGTATTCTGCTTGCATGTATGCCTGTGCACCAGAAGAGGGCACCAGATCTCACTATAGATGGTTATGAGCCACCATATGGTTGCTTGGAATTGAAGTCAGGACCTTTGGAAGAACAGCCAGTGTTCTTAACCTCTGAGCCATCTCTCTAGCCTCTGAGACTCTGTCTTAAAGGGTAATTTCTCATTACTGCACTTGACTAGTCTAGGGGAAAAAAATTAAAAATAAAAAGATAAATAAATAAAGAGTAAAAAGAAGATTGGATGAGCTAGCCAGGCAGTGGTAGCACATACCTTTAATCTCAGCACTCCGGAGGCAGAGACAAGTGAATCTCTGAACTCAAGGCCAGCCTGGTCTACAGAGTCCCAGGACAGTCAGGGCTACACAGAAAAACCCTGTCTTGAAACAAACAAACAAACAAACAAACAAACACAAAAACAAATTTAAGAAGGAGGAGGAGAAGAAGAAGAAAAAGAGAAGGCTGGAAGAGAAACCAGGCATGGTGGTACATGCCTTCAGTTCCAAAAGACACATGAAGAGCTCTATGAGCTCGAGGCCAGCATTGTCTACACAGTAAGACCCTGTCTTAACACACACACTCTCATACACACAAGTATACATACATACACATACATACATACATACATACATACATACATACATACATACAGAGAGAGAGAAAGAGCACAGAAAATGTAGTTAGGACCTTCTGGACCACAAAACAGAATGTTACCTCCATTGCTATCCACAGCTCAGGTCACTGTCACTGTGTGGTTTGAAAATGAATGGTGCCTATAGATTCATATATATGAATGCCCAGTCACCAGACTGTAGAAAAGTTTGAAAGGATTAAAAGGATTAGGAGGTGTGGCCTTGTCGGAGGAAGTGTATCATTGGGGGCCTTGGGCTTTAAGGTTTCAAAAGCCCATGCCAGGCCTGTGCTCTCTCTCTCTAGCTGAGGACCAGGATGTGGCTCTCAGCTACTGCTCCCCACCCATGATGATAATGGACTAACCCTTTGAAACTGTAAGCCTCCAGTTAAATGCTTCTTCTTCTTCTTCTTCTTCTTCTTCTTCTTCTTCTTCTTCTTCTTCTTCTTCTTTCTTCTTCTTCTTGTTTTTGAGACAAGGTTTCTCTCCTAGTCCTGGCTGTCCGCCTGCCTCTGCCTCCCCTGTGCTGGAATTAAAGATGTGTGCCACCACATGCAGCTAAAGGCTTTCTTTTATGATCAAGGTTGTCTTGATCATGGTGTCTCTTCACAGCAATAGAACAATAATTACGACAGTCACCTCAGCACTTTCAGAGCTCCTCTGTTAAAACCATAGTCTTTGGCAGAGCCACTCCTGCAAACTGACCCTTGTCAGTGCATAGAAATCAAGGAGGTGAACCTTCCTCCTCCATGAGTTAGCTTCCCAAACCCATGCTGAGGCGAGTGTAGACCTTGGAGGGTGATGAGACAGAAAGGGCACAGTTTTTGCCATGAGAAGAGGAAGGACTTAAACCACAACTACTTCCCACAGGTGACCTTGACCTTTCACTCCTCTGAGCCTGAAAGATGCCGAAATAAGAGCTGTCTGCAAAAAAAACACAGCCAGCATTAAACTAACACTGAGGAAACCCAGGGCACCATGCTAGGCGCATGGCAGATGCTCAAAAACTAGCTTTTCCTTTCTTAAGACACATCTCACCATGTAGCCTGGAACTTTAGACCAGGATGGCCTGTAACTCATAAAAATCTGCCTGTCTCTACTCCCAAGGCAAGCTTTTTCTTAAAGAATACTGGGTCAGAGCTGGTGGAATATCCTAGGACCCAGACCCAGTCAGAGAGGAAGCCTGCAAATGAGAACACTCAAGAAGACCTCCAGAAAGAAAGCCCCATCACAGACCTCAGGTGGAAGCAGGTGAGCCAGCCCGGGAGAGGCCGGAGGAGGGTGTGACGGTTTCTCCTCCAGATTCTACTTCTCTGTCAGCAAACAGCCCTCCTCCTCTGGTCTTCCTACCCTCAACCCACTGCGCAAGAGCACGGAGGCTTGCCTCCGAATAGCTCGGAGCCCACATTGCCCTAGTTGCATAAGCTCCATAGCCCGGAACCTGTAACTGGCAACCAAGCTCCCCACTCTCTCACATACCTCACCTTGCGGAAGAGTTGGAGGTCTGCCCTGGGAACAGCTTAGCTGGTGGCGTTGGGCCAGCTACTTCCTTTCTCTGGGCCCGTGGAATGTTAATACCAACTCTCTCAAAGTGGAGCTCAAATGCAAAAGGAACATAAACAATAGCTCTGACTGGGTTTTGTAACCTTTAAAAATCCCCTGGGAGTTGGGGATATGGCTTAGAGTGTGAAAGTACTTGCTGTGCAAGCCCCAAGACCTGTGGTGGATCCACAGAACCTGTATAAAAACGGAAGACGAGGGCTGGAGGGATGGCTCAGTGGTTAGAAGCGTTATTGTTCTTGCATAGGGCCCATGTTTAGCTCCCAGCACCCACCTGGTGGCTCACAACTATCCGTAACTCCAGGCCCAGGGGCTCCACTGCCTCCTTAGGGCCTCCATTGGTTCCTGCACACAGATGATACACATCCGTACACCTGGGTAACACACATGCAAATAAGATTAATAAATCTTAAAAAAAAAAAAAAAAAAGTTCAAGGGCCAGGCACTCAGTAGACAATTCAGGCAGATCTCTGTGAGTTCAAGGCCAGCCTAGTCTACAAAGTAAGCTCCAGACCAGCCAGCCAGCACTACATAGTGAGACCTTATCTTAAAAAAGAAAAGTTTGTTTTTTTTTTTAAGAGTGGAAGGCAAGGACCAACACCTGAGGTTGTCCCCTGACTTCTACACACTGTCACCAGGCACATACATTCTTAAATGCAAACATGTACACACATGTGTATACATACGCACATCTTAGATACAAAAAAGATACATTTTCTTTAAAAATCAGTTAGGGACCTCTCTGATAAATATGTAACTAAGGCCTTTGTTTGGTTGGTTGGTTGGTTGAGGTAGGATTTCACTACGTGTCCTTTGCTGGCCTGAAACTCTGTAGGTAGACCAGACTGACCCCAAACTTGTGGCAATCCTCCTGCCTCAGCCTCCCCAGTGCTGGAATTTCAGGTGTATGTACCACTCCCAGCTAAGCTGTCATTGCAGTATTCAATATGGATGTCCCGCCTGCAGCGTCCCAGCCTTTCCCATGTGTCATCCTCCAAATTCTTTTTTAAATGCCACCTCCACGCTTTGATTCATATGGTACTTTCCATCCCCAAAAACCCAAAACCCAAAAGCCCCTGGATGTGACTGTGCGCTGGCTCTCAGGCATTTAGGACAGGCCTGGCTTCCACATCCACTACTGCGCTACTGTTCCCACCTACAGAAGCAAGCAAGGCTTCCAAGGCTGAAGGCTGAACAATTGTCCCACAGTCACCAACTACGAGGTGTGGAGCCAAGGTTCAAAGCAGGCTTTGCCTGCAAATCTCAGCACCTCCCGCTTTCCCCGTACACCCCCTCTTATCAAATCCTGCTCCGCCAATGTCCAGGCCAGGGTCATCATCTTCCGGGTTTGCTCAGTTGGGATCTCCCTTTCAGGTGCCCCTGTGTCCAGAGAACAAACAGTTTCCTTATTTCCCTCCAGCTCAGAAGAACCTTCCAAGCAAAGCTAGGCCAGTTCCACGGCAGATTCCTCCCCACACTCCTGTACCGCACAACAAGTGCTCAATTAAACACCTGCTGCATCCAGTCCCCCAAAAGGCCCATATGGGCAGGTGGAGGAACACCCACACTGGGTGTTCTCACTGGCTGTGGGAGTTGGAGAAGCAGTGGCCTCTGGCAGCCTGTCATCCCTCTGAGAAAAACGTGGAGCAAGGCCGCACGCAGATGTACAGAGGGGAGCGCTGATAAAAGCCAGCAGTAACATTTTCCCGCTTTCACCAAGGACACAGCACCGCGCTACGGGCAGAATGTGGCCCAGGCAGTCAAAGAGCCCAGACTAGAAGGGGTTCCTCAGCTTCCAACAAGATTCTATTCAAGATAGAAGGCACCAGCTGAGGGTAGGAGGCCTCCGTTGAGGCGCCCTGGAGGCAACTCGCACAGTCTCTCCTCTAGCAGTTCACTCTTCAAGATTCCTGAGAGATAGGAACAGGAAAGACTGGCAACCACAGCAACCCCTGCTGAGTGTAAATAGAATGGGGGAGGAAACCAAGATATGGCAGGCTGGGCCTGGAACAAGGCTATCACTGGCAGGGTGGGTGGATTCCCACTCCCTTCGGAAGGACAGAGACCTTGTGGCAATCCTCCTGCCTCAGCAGTGGGGAAAAGCCACTAAGTAACTTGGTATTAGCGGTACTAGGTCAAGGCTGAAAAATTCTCATCAATTTAGCATCAGCGCTTACGCCCATATATGTGGAGAGAGTGAATTTGTTTCCCACCTGTCCTGACCCTATCAAGTGAACAGGTGGAAGTTCAAGTCATAATAGCAAAGCAAACATCAAGCGAGTCATTTTCCCAGAAAGCAGCTGACTGGCTTGTTTCACACCTTTTTCAGTCTTTTTCCATCACCGTGTATAACCCTAGGAGAGCTGCCCCCTTCCCCAAATTCCATCTCCTCGGATGGAAAATGGGACTTTCTCCCTCCTTCATAGGCTTCTATGGTGGCACGAAAGCGTCCATTGATTCACCTCAGAATCGCAGGCCACTTCTAAGTCCCTGAGAAACTGGGAATCAACCCAAGAGCTTTTTACTCAGAAACACGTGCAGTGGTTTTGCTTTCGTTAGCTCATTAAAATCACCTGAAGCGCGAGCTACTCACTCAGACCACTAAAACTGGGATCTCTGGAGGTGTTGGCCAGCAAAATCCTTTAAGCTTCCCAAGAGGTTCTAGGGTGCCACCAGGGTTAGGAGCCGTTGGGTCAAAGAGTGAATCCCCGCCTGAACCATTGACTCTCCTGAACTCAGATTCCTCAGGGGGCAACCTGGACGGTGCATCTCTTTCCTTACCCCACCCTGGACGGTGCATCTCTTTCCTTACCCCAACAGAGCCCTTCTGCAGGAATCTACGCTTGCCCCTTGAACCCAACTCCTCCTGACCCCAGAATTTTCCAGTTCACGGTCTGACACCTCAAGGAACCCCACAAACTGTCCCAATGACTCTCATACCGCAACGCATTCTCGCCCCACTCTCGGGCTTGTCCTTTGTATCAGATCGGTCCCCGAGTCCTGCCGCCTCCTGCCCCCTCTCCCGGGCCGCGGGCCAGCAGCTCACCGCAATCCTGGCAGGCGATGCTTAATTCCGCTGCTGCCGGGAGCCAGGTGCCAGCCAGTGCGCCTGCGCGTGAGCAGCCTCGGGCTTCCCCGCTCTCTCCCTCCGCCCCTTCTCAGCTATTGGCTCGGCGCGGCTCTCCCGATCGCAGCTCAGGCAGGTGACCGCGCCTGAGGCTGTCGCTGCCATGTTTGTCATGGGCTCTTCCCCTTAGGTGCCCTAAGAAGAATGGGAATCAGTCAACAGGGGCAGGTTGTCTGGATTCCATACAGACTCAGCCCCTCTTTTTTCTCCACGAAAACTGTCATTTCAGCTCAAATCAAGTTTCTCTCGGGGACGCCCCCTTCCCCTTTCCTGTTCCTCATCCCAGAGGATGAGAATTTAGCAGGGACTGCCTAAGGCTGGATTGTGAGCCCTGTGAGGGCGAATCTCAGCCTGAGCTGTGGCCATGAGGAATCAATTCACAGGAGCCAGGGCAGGGGGGTTGTAGGCACAGACACCGGGCCACCAACCCACAATCACACAGCCCGACCTCTTCGTAGTGGTAGTAATAAGAATCCGAAGAAAAACAGGACGGAAATCCTGCCTGACAGTGTCGGTCTGTAATTCTCTTTGTTGTTGTTTGGTTTTGTTTGGTCGGTTGTTTTTTCGAGATAGGGTTTCTCTGTGTAGTCTTGGCTGTCCTGGATTCGCTTTGTAAACCAGGCTGGCCTCGAACTCAAAGAGATATGCTTATCTCTGCCTTCTAAGTGCTGAGATTAAGGCGTAATCCTTGCCACACAGAAAGCTAAATCAAAAATAAATAAAATAAAATAAAATAAAAAAGTCCAAGGCTAGCCTGTGCTGAATACAGAGTGAGTTTAAGTCCTATCTTAAACTACAAAAACAAAAACAGGGCTAGAGATACACATAAATAAAATAACATACCGAGCCCCCTACTATTATGTGCCTTGCATAATAGGTACACTGTTTCGAATGCATTTTCCTCCGATTGCACACGGGAAATAGATGCTATTATTTCCACTTACAGATGGAAATAACCCTTGAGTGATGGTGATGTATGCATGTAAAACAACTTGGCCACCTGAAAGGCAGTTCCATGTGTGGTAGTTCATGTCTCCATTGCCCATAAAGCTGGCTTTGGTGCTAAAGTTGACTAGACCAGTTCTTGGTTGCTTTCTCCAGCAATCGCTGAATTCAAAATGGATGGCTGTGAAGGTGCATGCCTTTAATCTCAGCACTAGGGAGCCAAAGGCAGGTAGATCTCTGCTTTCAGCCTGAGCTATAGAGCAAGTTCCAGGACAGTCAGGAATAGAGAAACCCTGTCTCGAAAAACAGACAGACAAACAAACAAAAACTAAAGTTCCGATAAAAATCAAGAAATCTTTGGTTGGTTGGTTTTTGTTGTTGTTGTTGTTGTTTGAGACAGGGTTTGTCTGTTTAACAACCCCATCTGTCATTCAGGCTTGGTGGCATACACCTGCAATCCCAGCACTCTGGGAGGCAGAGGCACAGAAAGGAGGTTCACTGTGAGTTCGAAGCCTGCCTGGTCTACAAAGTTAGTCCAGGACAGCCAAGGCTACACAGAGAAACCCTAAAACAAACAAACAAATAAAACAACAACAACTAACCAACCCCAGCTGTTCTGGAACTCACTTTGTAGACCAGGCTGGTTTTGAACATACAGAGATCTGCCTGCCTCTGCCTCCTGAGTGATGGGATTAAAGATGTCCACCACCATATCTGGCCTCCAACAAATTTCATACAATCAGATGCCCAAGCAAGCCAATACTACCTCTCCCAATCCTAAAGGCCTCCTTCTTCTTCTGCATTTGCTAGACTTTTAAAATCAAGTTTCTGGGGCTGGTGAGATGGCTCAGAGGTTAAGAGCACTGACTGCTCTTCCTAAAGGTCCTGAGTTCAATTCCCAGTGACCACATGGTGGCTCACAAGCATCTGCAATGAGATCTGGTGCGCTCTTCTGGTATGCAGGCACACATGCAGGCAGAACACTGTATACATAATAAATAAATAAATCTTAAAAAAAAATCAAGTTTCTAAGGCTCAGTTCACTTTCTCAGCGGTCAAACGGGGTCCAGTACCCACCTGTCCAGCTTCCCCACTGTGATCAATAAGGCAAGGAGTGCCGCTTTTGGCTTCTTTGCTAAGGGACATTCTGTTAAAACTGCCTCCTTGCTTACAGGGATTCTGTAGGCATAGGGGGAGAAACAGAGCTAGCGTGATAGAAGTGCTGAAGCACACCTGCAGCCCCAACGCTTGGGATCACAGTTTGAGACCAGCCAGGGCTGTGTGGCTAGACCCTAGAAAGTGGGCACTAGGGACGTAGCTCAGGTGGTAGAGTTCTTGCCTAGCATCCACCAGTCTCTGGTTCAGTCCTCAGGACTGAATAGAATGAGCGTGGCTGTGTGTATACCTGTAACTATAGCCCCTGGCCAGTAGAGGCATCCGATCAGTTCAAGGCCATCCTTGGCTTCTAGTGAGTTTCAGGGGCAGGGAAAGTGCAAGAGGCTAAGCGCTACTAGCCCTTGTGCCTTTTTGTTGCTAATTTTTGTGCACAAAGTCCCCTTTTGACTTTGTGACAACACAGCAAAGGGCTCATCACAGCAAATGGTCCCACAGGAGCCTAGAGAGTCCTCAGGGATCCCACAAACATCCTCCTAGCATCTACACTTTGCTGGGTGTGCCCCTTTCTCTCCTCCTTCAGGGCCTCCTCTATACTGTGACCCCCATTCTGGAATAACCCCATCAAGTATATAAAGACATGTTCCAAGGTGCTGAGACGGAAGGAAACAAACATGCAGGTACAAAACTGCAGAGTGAAATCTATTCCGGGACATACAGACAAGAATGGCACCAATATCACGGGATGCCTCCCGTGTGAGTTAGGAGGGGGTGTGTGTACTGGTTAGGATGCATGTCACTTCTTCCTAGTCAGAATGTCCCTGCTAGTTTTTTCTCTCTTGGTTTTTCAAGACAGGGTTTCTATGGTGTAACCTTGGCTATCCAGGAACTCACTCTGGAGACCAGGCTGGCCTTCAACTCAGAAATCCGCCTGCCTCTGCCTCCTGAGTGCTGGGACTAAAGTCGTAAGGCACCACCACCACCACCCACCTCTATCTTTAAAATATTTTTTCTATTTATTATTGTATTTTTGTATTGTTTTATTATTGTATTGTATTTTCTATTTATTTTATTATTTATTATTTATGAGTGTTTTGCCTGCATGTATGTATGTGTACTATTTCATGCCTAGTGCCTATAGAAGGCAGAAGAGGACATCAGATCTCATGTGATTGGAATTACAGACCACTTGTGAGCCACTACATTGGTGCTAGGAGTGGAACTCAGATCCTCTGTGACAGTAAATGTTCTCTAACCACTAGACCAACTCTCCAGGCGCCCCTCCCACACATACAATCTATCTTTAGCTAGCCACAGAGTCAGCACATTGCTGGCACATTTAGTTTTATGTGTATTGGTGTTTAGCCTGTAAAGGGTGAGGGTGTCAGATCTTGGAATTACAGACAGTTGTGAGCTGCCATGGGGGTACTGGGAATTGAACCCGGTCCTCTGGGAGAGCAGTCAGTGCTCTTGATCATGGAGCCATCTCTCCAGCCCCAAATGCGTAGCCCAGGTTAGTCTCAAACTCCAATCCTCCTGCCTCCATCTCCTTCAGCAACTCCTACCGGCGGCATGCACCATCACGACCAGCTCATCTGTTTCTAATGTGCTGGGAAATTATTCAGGAAAAACTTTCTAGAACAATCATCAGTTACAATTCAAGATGCTGCAGTCAGGTCAAGCTCAGTCTATTCACCCTTCCTAATCCACAAACCGTGCCTAAGTCATCTCTTCCAGAATTAAACAGCTGTTAAAACCCCTCCGGCTCCTGAATGCAGTGGTGATCATAAAATGGACATTTCTCTGCCATAAGCACCCCCTTCTTCCCATGGATGTTTTCCTGGCTGTGAGAAGACGACCAAAATCCAGTATTCGGCCCTTTGTGTGTTGCAGGCTTTCTTCCTGCCTTTCTGTCGCTGGCCAGTGTACACCCTCTCTTCAAAGCAAGCCTTGGGTCTTTCCTTAACCATCCTTGGGGATAAAATGGTAGGATGGAGAGGGCTTACAGGACCAGCTCTGAAAAGTGGTCCAGCAGGAAAGACCTTGAGTCCTTCTTGCTGATCTTTAGGCTCCATAGTTACACTCGGGCCCCTTGTATGCTGGAGACGTGATCCAGCATAGTATGCTGCAATACTGTGGTGCTAGAGGCCAAATCCCCTGCCAGACTCCTTCAGTCCTTGAACCTACGAGAAATGATACACTAGTAGCATCCTTGAAAGTCTCTCCTAGGCCTCCTGCCTCCTCGTCCTAGGCCCTACCGAGTTCTCCCACTCTCTTAAGAGTTTCTTGTTCTTGGGTACTGGGGCATTTCTCCAGGACTACTTCTACTTTGCCCCCTAGTGATGGTTTGATCATGAGGTTAAGGTTAAGGTTGCTGTATTTTCAAATGTTTCACAAGATGTTGAGAGAATACTCAAGTGTGTATCACTGTGGTGGGTGGAAGGAACAAGACCTTCAAAGCAGCTTAAACAAAAAGGAATTTATTGGTCTGGGTAACTGTAAAGACCATGACTCACATACAATTATCAAAAAGCAACTTATGTGCCTTGGCTTCATTTCTTCTCTGACTACATGTTCAGTGACTGGGGTTTCCCCGCCCTCAGCCTGCAAGCCTTCCGGTCTCGGGGAAAGAAAATATTCCCTTCCCCCAGACAAGAGAACAGGGTGCGGGAGCAATGGCTCAACAGTTACAGAGTGTGCTTCAGCAGGGCCTGGTGGGACACCCCTTTAATCCCAGCACTTGGGAGGTAGAGGCAGGAAGAGCTCTTTGAGTTCAAGGTGACCCTGGTCTACAAAGCAAATCCAGGAGAGCCAAGACTCTGTTACACAGAGAAACCCTGTCTCAAACAAACAAACAAACAAACAAACAAACCATAAGTTAAAAAGAGTTCCTGGCTAGGCAGCACAACAAAGCTAGACCTGATCTCACAAGGGGTGGGGAGGCACTGGAGAGCTAGCTCAGCAGTTAAGAGGACATTGCCTGTTCTTCCATAGGACCCGTGTTCAACTCCCAGCACCCACATAACAGCTTACAACCATCCATGTGTAACTCCAGTTCCAGGAGATTGAACCCCCTTTCTTCTCTTTTCTTTTTTAATTTATTTATTTTTTTATATTCAGTCTACATATGTCCCTTCATGCCAGAAGAGGGCAGTAGATCTCATTATAGATGGTTATGAGCCACCATGTGGTTGCTGGGAATTGAACTCAGGACCTTTTTGGAAGAGCAGCCAGTGCTCTTAACATCTGAGCCATCTCTCCAGCCCTGAATCTCCTTTCTGATCTCTGTGGGCTCCTGCACACATATGGCGCACAGATATATACTCAGGCATACACACATACACATAAAATTAAATATCCTTAAAAGAAGTGTCGCATCCCTAAAATATGAGGGGTATTTCTAGAATCAGAGTGAATAAACTCACAGCTTGATCCCTATTTCCCTCATTTTGCCTAAAAACTCCCCAGACCAGCAAAGCACAAAAGAACCAATCTAAGACACAGTTCTGCTCCTTCCCAATCCCAGCTTGAGCTTGTCTGGCATGGATCCATTTCTCAAGCAGGTGAGACTAGATTCCCTGAGAAGCACCAGCAGGTAGAAACACTGACTTGTCCACGTGGCCTGTTACTCATGTCCTGGCTGGAGTAAGAACAACCCATGGGTAACCTTGGGCATTCAGCAGGTGCTGGTTACAGGGGGCAAAGTTGCATAAATTGTGTAAGTTATATAAACAGGAGTCCTTCTGGCGCTGTGACACACTGAGACTGCTACGGCTTAGCACAAGACAAAGTTAGCATTTATGGAGGTTGGAAGTCTGAAATGGGTCCCGCTGGCTAAAAAGGAAGGTGTTGGCTGGACTCTCTTCCCCTCTTGAGACTTCTGTGATTGCATCTATTGTCTCATGCCTTCTGATTTTTCGACAATGCCCTTACTCCTTCCTCATGATAATCGCTCCATTCTACAAAGACAACATTGGCAGGTAGTATTTTCTGGATGGCATGAGTATGACTCTGGACTTCTTTCCTGTTTGAAAGTCCTTAAAATTACATTGGCTTCACATGTAATCCAAATGCTCTTTAAGACTTAGTATTTATCTTATTCGTGTTATGTCTGCTTGCACGAATTTGAGGCCCTTAGAGGCCAGATCCCCTGGTGTTGCAGGCAGCTGTAAGCCACCATGTAGGTCCTGGGACTTGATGAGAAAGAGGTGAGAAGTGTTTCTGTGTTCTAGGGAGTGCATCTGTGAGCTCAGACAATTGCCTCTAGCTTGGGGCCACCATGCCCTACTTTCTACCTCGGTCTTCGAACTGGCTGGCTCTTAGCCCATTCAAGGTGTTTTTCTCTGCCTAGTAACAGGAAGGTGTGGTTGAGGCTGCGCATGGAAGGGAAAACACAACTGAAAAGCAGCGGAGAGAAGCTCCATTCTGGACTCTTCTGGCTCTCCCAAAGGCTGGAGAATAATCCCACTAGGCTGAAGGAGGCAAGTGAATGGACAGTTAACAGGGGAAAGCGTGCCAGGGGCTGAGGGCTGGAAATGCATGGAGAGGTTTGTTTGGAGGCAGGTTCTCCTGCAGCCCAGGACGCGAATTCACGGTTTTCCAGCCTCTACTCCAGGACTGGAATTACAGGCAGGAGCCATCACACCCGGTTTATGTGGTGTTGGGGATCGCACCCAGGGCTGTGTGCATGCCAGGCGCTCTATTAAGAGACCTACATCCCCAGCCCAGGTATAACTGATGAGGAGGTGGGGATTAAAATGCCTGACTCAGGAAAGGTTCCTCAAAGCCAGCAGGCAGTCACGGAAGACCCAGGCTGTTGTTGTCAGGAATTAGGTATCCATACGCCCATCTACCACAGGTCTGGACCCCTGTAAAAATGCTCGCCACCTGAGGTTCAGGCCATGTACTCCTACATCTACCTGCCGCCCAGGGAGGGCATCTGGTCTCGGCTGCAGACCCTCGCCTACCTGCCCGCCCCTCTGCTGCTGCCACCCATCCAGACCCACAACTTCTGCAGCCGGCCGGCGGGCCTGAGCGCGGCCCCGCGAGAATTCCACTGCTTCCACGGTGCGGGCGCGGCCCTGGTCTCCACGCCGCCGTGGTGGGCCTTGCCGTCTGCGGATGCCGCGGCCCTTGGCTCGTCGTTCTCCGCCTCCCGCCTGCCCGCGCCATCCAAACCCGCGTCCGACGCCGAGCGCGGGGCGCCGTGGCCCGAGGGCAGCAGCCTGCAGCTGCAGCTGCGCTGGGGCCGCGTGGAGCGCGCGCAGGGGCCGCCCCTGCCCCTGCCCGACACGCTGCGCCGCCGCCTGCGACGCGCGTACGGCACCTACCCACGCACCGACGTGCGCGTCACCCTGCGCGGCGGCCAGTTGCTGCTGCAAGCCGCGCCGCGCGTGGGCGAGCCCGAGTACCAGGTGGCGCGGCGCGTGGTGCGCAGGCCGACCAGCGGCGACGGAGGGGACAGCGGGGACAGCCCGGCAGCTCGGGAGGCGGTGCAGCGTGGCCGCCCCAAGAAAAAGCAAGGTCTGAGATGAGCTCCTCACTGCGCCTGCGCGCCTGCCACCTTTCCCCCCCCCCCCCCCCCCCCATCCCCAGCAGAAGCAGCGCATTGATTTCTCTTATTACTGGACCGTGCCGGGAGAGAAAGGTGTTTAGGTCCAGAGGGTCTTGAAGTGAAGTCAGCACCTGGACTGCTTCTCCCCTCTCTCCTTAGCCGTCTGTGTGGGTCCTACTTGCCTTCCTCTCTCTCCCTTGCAGAACAACATTCCTCTCCACAAAACCGAGACAGCCACAGCAGTCCCTGGCTTGGAAAGGGTAGTGAATAAATGAGTGAAATCCAGTCTCCGCTGGATTGGGAAGTGGGCATGTCACCATCTGTGTAACGCGAGTCCTTTACTCCGTGCGCACCCTGACCCGCGGGTCAGCCCTTCAGCAGCGCGTCCACAGTGTGCAGTGGCCAGTCGCCTTGACTGTCCAAAGACGATGGAGACCTAGAGTAGTTTTGGAGTGTGGGAGTAGCTGGGAAACGTCGCCTGTGAGCTAGGTTTAGAGCTGGTCCTGACATTTTCCTAGCTAGGTGTCATTCGCCTTTCTGAGCCCTTTAACATCTGCAAAACATATAAAATTAGCTTACCTAGATGTTCAGAGGAATGCCATTATACACACACACACACACACACACACACACACACACATACATACGTGTGTGTCAATGATCTTGTTAAGTTACCTTATTTTTATTTTTTAAAGATTTATTTATTTTATAGATGAGTACTTTATATGCATGTACACCTGCATGCCAGAAGAGGGCATCAGATCCCAGTATAGATGGCTGTGATTCTTGGGAATTGAACTCAGGACCATTTGGAAGAGCAGCCAGTGCTCTTAACCTCTGAGCCATCTCTCCAGCCCCCAAATTACTTAATTTTTAAAAGACTTTATTTATTTACTTACTTACTTATTTTTGTCTAGGCAGGGTTTTCCGGTGTAACAGCCCTCCCTGTCCTGGAACCCTGGAACCCTCTAGACCAGGTTGGCTTCGAACTCAGAGATCCACTTGCCTTGGCCTCCCCAGTGCTGGGACCAAATGTGTGTACCACCACGCCTGGCTTTTCATCCCAATTGTTGTTGAATTTTTAATGAATTAGTTAGCTAACTTTCAGGTAAGGAAGATCTTGCTCTAAACGGATGGACCTCAGACTGGCAACAGGCCCTGCCTGAGTCCACTGAGGTTATACATGGGCACCACACCTGACTAGCTTTGTTTTTCTCGTAAAAGGAAAATTCAGTGTTTCAATGGAGGGATGATAGGCTTGGTGGAACACCCCTTTAATCCTAGCACTCAGGAACTAGTACCAGATCCTGGTTTCTGTGAGTTCCAGACCAGAGCCAGGGCTACCGGGTAAGACCCTATCTCAGATATGTGCATGTGTGTAATTTTACATTTTGTAATATTTCATAATGTTTAAATGTCGATTTGATTAGTTATGAATATCATTCCTTCCTTCATCTCACTAGTCTCGGCACATGCATGTTCCTGTGTATGTATGCCCATAGGTACACAGTACCAGCCTCCACCTTATTAAGATTTAACTTTATGCCGGGTAGCGATGACACTCGTCTTTATTTTTATTTTTTATTTTGTCCTGACAGGGTTTCTCTGTGTAGCCTTGGCTGTCCTGGACTCACTTTCTAGACCAGGCTGGCCTCAAACTCACAGAGATGTGCCTGCCTCAGCCTCCCCGGTGCTGGGATTGAAGGCATGCATCACCACATCCGGTTAATTTCATTATTTTTAAGTATATGTTTGTGCCTGTGGAGTGTGTGTACGTGCAGGTGCAGACTGTGGGTGCCTGAGGTGCTAGATCTACCCTGGAGTTAGGCTCGAGCTGTTAGCTGCCTCTAGAAGAGCTCTGTGTGCCACGGGCATCTCCAGGCCCCACTCCTCAACCCGGCTCGGCTCTTGAGAGAGGGTTTCTCCTACGGACCTGGGGCTTGCTGACAGGCTAGAACCAGAGGGGCCCAACAGTCTCCTTCCTTTTCCTATACCCCATGCTGTAGGCACACGCACACACCACTATGCCCAGCTTATGAGGGTGTTGAGATTGGAACTGAAGCCCTATTGGGACACACACACACACTCTAAGTAAAATGTCAAAAACAAACAAACCCAGCACTCAAGGAGGCAGAGGCAGGTGGGTCTCTATGAGCATGAGGCCAGTCTGGTCTACCGAGCGAGTTCAGGACAGCCGAGGTTACAAAGAAACCTTGTCCTGAAATGAAAAAAAAAAAAAAAAAAAAAGGAAAAAATGGATTTGGGAGGGAGATATATTTTTTATTTTTACTTGATAGAATAAGCAGCTATTGTAGGTATCAATTAATTAATTTGATTTTTGAGACAGGGTTTCTCTGTGTAGCCCTGGCTGTCCTGGAACTCACTCTGTAGATCAGACTGGCTTCAAACTCACAGAGAACTGTCTGCCTCTTCCTCCTGAGTGCGTGCGGGGACCAAAGGTGTTCACCACCACCACTGCCTGGCTATGTGCTGATATAGTTTCAAAAGAAGTTTAGAAAACACACCACCACATGCTTATGTCACTATGTTACTGGCTTTGATAGTATTTTTATCTGTTGTTTGAGACAGCATCTCATTGTGTAGTTCTGGCTGGCCTACAACTCGATAAATAGACCAAACTGGCTTAGAATTCACAGAGATCTGAACCATCTCTTTCTCATGCAATGGGATCTTTTTTTTCTTTTTTAATCACATGTAGATATTTTCTGTTTTTACATTCAAGCACAAGCGCACGCGCGCATACACACACACACACGGAATAAATATTTTTTTAAAGGAATAGAATAAGAACTATAGTCTCCCACACTTCCCAGAGCTTGCTTCCTGTAGGTACTATGCTAAACCCCAGTGCAGACACATATCAACTCACTGAAGTTTATGCTCACAAAACTGATGTGGATACAATTATAATTTCCATTCACACAGGAGGAAACTTAGTCTCACACAGTCCTCTGTGAATCCAACAACTCATCCAAGGTTACAAAATGAGAATGTAATTTGATTGGCTTTAATCTCTAGGTCAGACTTCCCCTTTCGACATGAGACCCAAGCAACAACATGCAAGGAACATTTATTGAGGAACTATCCCGTGCAGAACGCTGGGTTAGGCACTGCCAGGGTCAGGGGCGTGTGAGTCTTCCTCAGAGGGAGGGACATGGGGAATCTGTGCACTGTTGGGGAGTTGAAAGAAGCTTCCAAGGACAAACAGGACTCCGAGGAGCTGAGCAGGAGGTAGCAAGAGGGAAAGCATGGCAGCAGGAAGAAGAAGCAGCAGATTATCATCAAGATAGCAGCGGAAGGTCGGCCCTGAACGCTAAGTGAAGTCATTCTGGAGGACTGACAGCAAACAGACATAGGCCAGATAGGGTGGAACATGTTTTTAAATGTTTGGGAGGTAGAGCCAATGTTATTCTAGGTTATACAGGTATCCTGGGCTATCGAAGAGCCTGTCTAGGGGGTGGGGGCGGTGATGAGGAGGATAGATTTTGTTGGGAAGCCACTGAAGCCTTTAAGCAGAAGGGCACCCCAAGTCAATGCTATTAAAATGGTGTGGAGCCTGGAGGTGGTGGCCCACACCTTTTTATCCCAGCATTCAGGAGGCAGAGGCAGGGGGGACAGAGAAACCCTGTCTCTAAAAACAAAACAAACAAAAAGGGGTTTGATCAAGGAGCCTCCAGGAGCACCCCTCGGAAGCTGTGAGTGACAGCTGTCTGGTTCCCTGTTGTCTTGGTTTTGATGGTATAGCGCAGCCGGGCACCAGAACTGAGTCCCTAGGGCATTTGCTAGAGCTCACAGCCTATGGAATTCAGTTCTCAGGGCCAGGTGGCCAAAGTTCTCTCATCCTGGATGCTGGCCTCCAGTGTTCTTCTATAGATTGTTCTTACATGTATTGTGTGTCTGTATGTGTATGTGTGTGGTCAGGTGGCTTTTTTTTTTCATTCTACCATGTGGGTCTCAGGGGTGTCAGGTTTTGTGGTAAGCACCTTGAGCCATTTCATTGGTCCCCTTTCTGTAAATGTCCCCCCAATCCCAACATGGACAAATTGAGATTCAGGATGTAGCCTGGGATCTCAGAATACTTCCTCCCCCCTCAGTGGTGGGATGCTGAGCTTGGAGCTGAAAATGGGATCCCAAAGCTAGAGAAACAGACAAGAGCTGGAGTAGAATGTGAGGAGAGGGCCTCGGAGTATGGCAGGGACTGGGAATGGATTCGGATCCTACTATTGCCTGCCTAGATGTGTTCTTGGTGGGACAGGTAGAGGAGCTAGAGGGGTGAGGGACTGAAGAAAAAGCCAAACTTTTCACCTGACAAGTGTCTGCAGTTGGAGGAGCTTCCTCAGCCAAGGGGTATCTCCAGGAGAGTCAGTCCCTGGGAAATCTGCTTGGATGAAGGTGTTGAGTGTTTGGAATAGCTGAATGGAAGAGGAAGACCTCCCTGAAAATGCAATTTCATTTCCTGGAGGGCTGGGTGCTGTCCTCCCTTCCCTGGAGAGGAAAAGCAAAACCAGCAAACTCAATAGTTACCCTCCCCACAGCCCTGCTGAATCCTGGGAAGAGAGCAGCACTTACCCACAAAGCCTCTTCTCTGGCATTCCTGGGTCTGGATCTGCAACAAGCAACTTTGTGGATTGCCTTAAATAGGCCCCGCCCTGCCCCAGTGCCCCACCCATCCATGCAGGCTCTTCTGAGAAAGGAGGAAGGTGTGGGAGGGCTAGGCATGCTGCCTGCTGCCCAGAGAGCCCTTTCTGACCTCAAGCCAGAGCCAGGGACTCCCCCCCACCCACACCCATTCTTCCAAGTGTCCCCTTCCTTATTTCAGTCCCCACTGTCTCCAGCCCCCTGGTTCTTTTGCTGTTCTTAATGCTGGGAAGCTCTTGCCCTGATGCTGGTTCTGAAGCAGGGGGCTGGGGAATTTCTAACCAGACTATTTACAGCATAGGCTTCTAGTCTTTTCCATCAGCTGAGGAGACCCTGCAGCCTACAAGTCACCTAAGGGAATAGGGGAGAGGAGCCAACACTTGGCCTCACCACCCCCTGTGCCAGGGGCTTCAAGCAGCACTCAGTGGAGTTGGCTCCCATCTTAGGAAAGAGAGAAGAGCTCAGGGGGCATAAAACCAAGAACTCTTGGCAAGGCCAGGTTAGCTGTGGAGGTCTAGCAGAGGTTCTCTACCTGTGGGTCACGACCCCTTGGGGTCAAAGGGCCCTTTTACAGGGGTCAGGAAACAGATACTTACATTGTGAGTCACAACAGTAGCAAAATGACAGTTATGAAGTAGCAATGAAAATAATTGTATGAGGAAGGGGTGGCAGCATTGGGGAGATTGAGAAGCACTCTTGTAGAGATTCATGGAAATGCCACCTGACTTTTTGTCTGTGGTAGTCCATTCCCTCTTCCCACCTTCTGTCCTGGGGCCCCAGAACCTGACCCTGTCTGCACAGTTAGGTCTCCCCAGAGTCTGAGTTAGGAATAGAGGGGCTCCCCTAGAAATCTGTGGCACCTTTCTTCCCTAAGAATCTAGCATAGTTTTTCTGCTATCTAGCTACCCCCAGCAGCCACTCAAGCAGGACTGGGAGATGGGGAGGAAGGAAAGCAAGGCCTTGGGATGGCTGCAGGGGTCTTGGCTCAGAACTAGAGGTAGCCCTGCTGAGGAAACCTGTAAGTTCCAGGAATGGGGTGGTAAGGAATGAACAGTCATCAGTATTGAGCAATGAGTGGGTAAAGGGGAGGAGGAAAGGGGACCCAGAAGGGAGGGCTGGCAGGGGCCTGAGGCTAACGGGGGAGACCACTGGTCCCTTTTCCAGAGGCCTGCTTAGCTAGAGTTCAAAGTGGCTGTCACCCCACCTCTTATTAACCCTAACATGGCCAGTCTGGCTGCAGAAGTGCTTTTATGGGAGAAGGCAAGGCTATCCCTCCCTCTCCTCTTTCCTTCCCCTCTCAGCAGCCACCCACCCTGTTGGGGAGGAGGGAGCCCAAGGGACACGGGAAGGGCGAGCAGAACTCTCTTTTCTCCATTCTTGGCACTGCTTCAGTCTCTAGGGGATGCTTGGGACTTTCTCCCTGGGACTGGGTTCCGAGAGGCCAGCAATAGCTCCTGGCTCTCTGGTGCTGAAAGAAGGCTCTACTTTGCAGACTGGGGTGGGCTGGTCAACTATTGACAGAGATTCTTGGCACCCACTTTTGAGTTCAAAAGAAGGCATGCCTGTGGGCTTTCCCCACAGGGCAGTGTGGGGAAGCTGAGGTAGCAGGAACAGAAAGCGGAAGCTGAGGCCTTACTTACTGGGTCCTGGTGCAGAGTCGTCCGGTCTCTTCTAGATTATTAGCCCTGCCAACGTAGGCAAGAGGGCAGTGAGTTGGAGGAGGTCTGCAAGCCATCTTGGATCTGGGTTCAGGTCTATCCTCACTCTAAGCCTTTAATGCTCCTCTCCTTCCCAAGACCCTGTAAGGCACTTGACTCTTAGGAAAACATCACTAAGAGACAAAGGCAGTGGCTCACGCCTGTAATCCCAGGGAGGCGGAGGCAGGCAGATCTCTGAGTTGGAGGCCAGCCTACAAATTGAGTCCACTATAGCCAAAGCTACACAGAGAAACCCTGTCTCGAAAAAAAGGGGGCGCGGGGGGGGGGGGGGGGGGGGGGGGGGGGGGGATCCTTAGATCTGGCAATAGAGGAGACACCAGTCGGTGAGCCACAGGGATTGAAGAAGGGCAGAAGAGACAGGGAAGAGGAAACGGAAATCTATAGGATTTCCAGGTGGGGGTCCTGGGGGCGAGGAAATACGGAGGGCAGGGAAATCCTAGATTCCTTTCAGGAATAAAAACGGAAAAGTTCGGGACCTCTAGCGGACAAAAGCGAACAAGTCAGTCAAGCCTCTCTACCCAAAACAAAAATGGCTACCAGAGGAGCCGGTCCAAGACGTTTGGAAACGAGGAAGGAAGCCCCGCCCTGGGATGGGCAAATTGCCCTTCTCAAAAATGGCCACCATGGCGTCCGCCAGAAGGGACCAGCTCTGGCTCCGCCTTTGATCTCGTTGGTGGGGTAGGGGGATAAGAACTGCACCGCGCGGGACAAGTCGCCGGCGGCGCCTGACGGAGCAGGTGATTTCCCTTCCAGCCCCCAGTCTAGGGCTAGGAGAATGGCAGAGAGCATTGACACAGGGTACCCCCTCCTGGCGTTCCCTTATGGTACCCCCCGGGGGGGGGGAGGAGGGTCGGCGGGACCCTTTCTCTAATTGTCTCCGTGGCCTGTACGGAGGAACATCTAGCTTGTTTAGGCCTATTTCGTCATGTGACTCACCCCCTTCCAAGGCGGCTACTGCATCCCTGTGTCCTCCGGCCAGCTATTCTGGAGGCTTGCGAGTCTGCTAACGGTTATAAAAAGCTCTTGCTTCAAGGGTCGGCCATCAGCGGGATGCCGCTTCCTGTGCTTCACCTCCCCGGGTTTGTGCACCTGCCTGACTTTGGATGGGGGGATCCCTTATTCCCCACAATGCCCTTGGTACCTCTAAGACCTGCCGAGGGCATCAGGGTGAAATGGTATCTGCTGGGGCCTTCACTAGGCTTCATCATGACTTTCTAAAAGGAACGGGAGAAGTGAAGACCTTTGGGCTAGACCCCTTGCTGCTCCCGTAGCTCCCCAGGGCTCCTTCCCACATTGCTTCTCGGGAATTCTCTATCCACATGGCCTGCTCTCAGGTCCTATTTATGGAGAGCCGTTCCACGGGAGTAGCATGGCACTAAGTCCCTGAGAGAATCCCTCTAGCCCGGTACCTCTAATAGAATGTCTGCAGGGTGCAGGCCCATACCTAGTCCTTTGGGAGGGTCCCAAGCCATCTCGGAGCAGTGAGGATGGGTAGCCGAGTTAGTTGGCTGTAGAGAGGAAGTGAGTCCTGCAGAAATGGTGCTTGTGGAGGCAGAGAGAAAGGTGTTTTGAGCAGGGAGAAGGGGGCGGGCAAGCAAAGATTCTGATATAGGCAGGACTGCCCGCCAGGCAGGAGAGGCCCTCGGTACAGGGCTGGGCCACACCACTGGCACCAGGAGAGGTGGAGTGGTAGTTAACACAGAGGCTTCTGAAGCCAAGCTGCCTGATTGTGAATCGGCCATTACCTACCCTGTGACCTTGGGAAAGTTTCTCAAATTTTCAGTGCCTTTGTTTCCTTTCAGGTAATGGGCATAGTAGAATTGTCGACGTTTTAAAGCTGCTCTGAGGAGTAAGAAATTTAATGCAATGCTTTATATGCAGTCAATAGACAAACAGTTCTTACCATCATTAGAGGTGTTTTTGCTAATGTCTTTGGATTTATTTAATTATATATATAATTAAGTATAGATAGAGATATATGTGTTACTGTTTTGCTTGCATGTATGTCTGTGTACCTTGTGGGTGTCTGGAACCCTCAGTACTCAAAGAGAGTGTGATATCCCTGGGGGGCTGGAATTAGGGACTGTTGTGAGCTGAGTGAGTGCTGGGACTCAAACTTAGGTCTAACGCAAGAACAAAACGTGTTTCTAACGGTGCATCCAGCCCTCCAGGCCCCATCAGAGCCGTTTTAGCAGGATTCGTGGTACAGTGATTGTCACATTTCATAGGTACCGCCAAATAGTGATCTCTGATTTGGGGCTTCAGAGAAGTGATGGGGTTCTGTGGGCTGTACCTATAACTTAAAAAGTCTCATGGAAATCCTGATTGCAATTTGGAAAAATCTCGTGGAAATCCCGGTTTTACTCCAGAAAAACAAACAAAATCCATGATGTTCAGATTGCCTGGGAAAGCTGTCTTCCCCAGCTTAGGAACTTTGGGGAGAATAGATTAAGAGGTGCTCTCAAGCAAGAAGACAAGCCAGGGAAAGCTGGGAGGATAGAGAGGGATGGGAAGGGAGATGTGGCAAGCTTTAAAATCTGGGCCATGTTTGGTCAGTTCAAGAACAGGAGAGATGGTGGTCCCTTAGCAGAAAAACCAGCCACAGAACCTCCAGGGAGGAAGGCTTTTCCTTTGAAGACAGGGATGAGTTTCCCAGTAACAACACTGTAGACCCTACACATTGGTTAAAAACCCAGCTGTGGGCTGGAGAAATGGCTCAGAGGTTAAGAGCACTGGCTGCTCTTTCAGAGGTCCTGAGTTCAATTCCCAGCAACCACATGGTGGCTCATAACCATCTATAATGAGATCTGGTGCCCTCTTCTGGCATGCAGGCAGAACACTGTGTACATAAGAAAGAGAAGAAAGAAAATTTACACAAAAACAAAAATCGAGAGCGAGAGGCATCACATATATCCCCCCAAAAGCTTCCCTATAAGTTGAGAGCTTTCATATAGCAGCCAAGTGTCTTTTTGCCTGCAGAGGTTCCCTGGGCACTGTCAGCAGTCGGGGTAGGTCTCTGGAGGGGCTGCCTTTTCAGGAGACATGCATGATGGGGGCCAGAATGCCTGCATAAGGTGTTCTGCCTATGGGGCCTATGGCTAAGGGCGAGAAGGCGATCATCACCCTTGGGAGACTGGAGTTACTCAGTCCTCCTTTCCAAAGTGACTTTTGTTCTGTCACAGCTACTCTTATCACCGAGGGAACCAGGTAGCTGGTCCAGCACATGTGGAAGTTTGATATCCCCACCCTCTGAGTTTAACTTGACACTGGAGAGTTGCTAGGGACCCAGCTGAGGGCTTCAGCACCAAGCTATGTCCCCGCCCTGAATGTAGCTCTAATTACTGCAGTTCATTCAGGTGACTCTGGCAGGTTCGCTAAGCTCACTGGGTTTTCTTCACTCCTCGAGGGTGCAGAGGGGAGTGCAAAAGGAACTTTTTTTCACCTGATGTCGTTGTCATCTCGGAGGCTTACTGCCTCCTTCTGCTACCCTAGGCCTAGTCCTGGAAACTTCCAGCCTCCATACAATTTAATCTAGGCCTCTAGATTAAAACATTCTAATGTTTCCAGTACTGCTGAATAAGCTCACCCTTTCTAGCTCTTTCTGAGCTCTGGTTGGTTGGTTCAGCTCAGTTGTTCTGGTTCAGACTGATTTAGTCTGGCTTCTCTCTCTGCCTCTGACTCAATTGCGCTGCTTGGCCTCAGACTACCTCTAGCAATCTGTTCTAATCTTTTGGTTCCTTCTCATTCTCTGGCTCATTCTGTCTTCACCTGTTTCTAGCTTGGTCTCTCTTCAACCTCCTCTGTAAAACTCTCCCGTTAAAAATTGCCTCTGGATTCCACGAACTGAACTACCGTGACCTCAACTCACTGACTCAACTGAACTGCCTAAACAGAATTCAGAGATGTGCATGCCTCTGTTTCCTAAGTGCTGGGATTAAAGGCTTGTATCACCATGCCTAGACCTAAGCTTTTCTTTACCTGAAACTTGCTCAGGTTGCCTTTGACCTCGGAACTCTGCTTGTCTCTGTATCCTGGGCTTAAAGGCATGTCTGTATAGCAGGCAGAGTAGCCTTGTTGCTGGATTAAAATTCCTCTACAGGGGAGTAATGGATTTTTTTGAATGCCTAGTTCCCAAGGCTATTGAGTGTACATTGGTGAATAAGCAGGGTTGAAGCAATTTGCACAAAGACAGAAATAGGAAAGTCATCTTTGCCTTAATGAAATAACTGGAAGAAACATAAACAGTGCCCAAATAACTCACTAACCGTAGCTACAAAAGCCCCGATAAGGATGCGCTCTGTTGGGAGGGTGTTGGGTAGCGGTGAGTAGACTGAAAAGTCCGGACTAGAATGTTGACAAGCTGAAGGCAAGCCTGGATGGAGAGGAGAGGTGAGGCTGGAGAGAAATAGATGGGGAACGCCCTAGATCAAAGGCCACAGGACGATTTTTAGAAAGGTAATGGAAAGTCTGTTAAGTTTGATATCATTTATTTGTTTGTTTTTGAGACGGGGACTCGATCTGTAGCCCTGACTTGCCTGGAACTCACTGTGTAGACCAGGCTGCCCTCAACTCACAGAGCCCTGCCTGCCTCTGCTAAGTGCTGGGACTAAAGGTATGTGCCACCTATCACCCTTTTTTAAAGGATTTATTTATTGTGTGTGTGCGCTCAAAAAGGACTGCCAGATCCTATTGGGAGCCTCCTGGTGTGGATGCTCATGTACAAACTCTGGTACTTTAATTAAGCAGAAAGGAACCTAACCACTGAGTCATCTCTGCAGCCCCCACTTCTGGATTTGAAGTGGGTCATACAGCCGTGGTGGGCACAAGGGGCTGCTGGGGGAGAGATGGTAGTCAGGAAGCTCCTGTGGGGAAGAAATGGCACAGAGTGGGTGCAGAGGAGAGAGCCTGGGTGTAAGGCTGGGGAGAGGCTTCAATGGGAAGTGCAGGCTCTGTGAGCATGGCAACCTTGAAGAGTAACTTATTTGCCTGTTTCAGTTGTCATCTTGGATGATCACTGCCTCTGTCTGCTAAGCTAGGCCTAGTCCTGGAAGCTTCTAGCCTCCATACAATCTAACCTAGGCTTAGAGCGTTTTCAGCCTCAGAGACTTACTGTTGTATAAACTCACCCTTGTTTTGTTTTTTTTTTTTAATATATTTTAATTTTTTTAAATTGTATTTTATTAATTACACCTTATCCATTTTGTATCTCCCCATAAGCCCCTCCCTTCTCCCCTCCCGGTCCCATCCTCCCTCCCCCTTCTTCACGCATGCCCCTCCCCAAGTCCACTGATAGGGGAGGTCCTCCTCTCCTTCCTTCTGATCTTAGTCTATCAGATCACATCAGGAGTGGCTGCATTGTCATCTACTGTGGCCTAGTAAGGCTGCTCCCCCCTCAGGGGTTGGTGATCAAAGAGCAGGCCAATCAGATTATGTCAGAGGCAGTCCCTCTTCCCATTACTATGTAACCCACTTGGACACTAAACTGCCATGGACTACATCTGTGCAGGGGTTCTAGGTTATCTCCATGCATGGTACTTGGTTGGAGTATGAGTCTTTGG